GGGCGCCCCCAGTGGGCAAAGCGCCTGGAGGGCGACGAGCTCGTCGCCGCCGCCGCCGCCGTCGGCGCCGGGTCCTTCGCGGTGGGCGCATAGCGCGCCATGAAGGGCTCGCCCTCGCTGTTGCGCAGAATGCCGCCCTCGCCGCGGCAGCCCTCGGTGAGCAGGCAGCCTCTCCAGCGGGGAGGAGGAGGAGGAGGAGGAGGAGGAGGAGGAGGAGGAGGAGGAGGAGGAGGAGAGGAGGAGGAGGAGGAGGAGGAGGAGGAGGAGGAGGAGGAGGAGGAGGAGGAGGAGGAGGAGGATGACGATCCCTGAAGTCAGGGTTCGGCCGCCTGGCCTGCCTCCTCAGATGAGGAGCACGAACTTGCCGACGGGCCTCACGACGTCCGCGCCAGCGCGACGAGCTGCTTGAAGGCGGCTGCCCTGGCCTCCGCGCTCGCCCTCGACTCCTCGGAGTCAGCGCTGGCCCTGGCCGCCCGCGGCAATGCCCCAGCAGCAGCACCTTCGTCGCCGTGCTCGGGGCCCCCGAGCGGGCCACGGCGGTCGCCGTCCAGCTCGGCCACGTGGTCGTCGATCACGCCGCCGTGACCACGTCCTTGCCCTCGAACGCTCGGTGCGGCCCGAGGATCCCAGGGCCCTGGCCAACCGCCGAGGGCGGGGACTCTTTCCCAGGCGTGCCCGTGGCGCAGAGGGGGGTACGTGGCCGACGGCCTTCGCACTGCCCCCGCTGCGGCCGCCTCAGCGCCGCGCCCGCTGCCCTCGGCTGCAGTGGAGGCGCTGCCGCCGTCGCACTCGCCCAGGCTGGGTGCGGCCGCGCCTGGGGGCTGCTGCTCGCGCGCGCCAGCCGCCGCCAGGAGACGGGCGACGCGCTCGGCGAAACCCAGCGAGCCCAGCGCCGCCGCGGCGTTGCCGTCCAGCGCGTCCGAGGCGCCGCCTGCCGCAGCCGATCCGCTCGCGGCCCCCGCAGCAGCCGCCCCGGCGCCGTGCGCGGTGTCGCCCAGCACGCTCACGGGGGCGACGTCCAGCGCGTGCGAGCCGTCGACGCCCGCCGACAGGCCGCTTGCCGCCCCCGCAGCTGCGGCCTCCGCGTCGTGCACAGCGCCGCCCAGCGCGCCCTTGATGTCGTCGTCCAGCGCGCCCGAGCCATCGATGACTGCCAGCGAGCTGCCTGCCTCCCCAGCAACGGCATCCTCAGCGCCGAAACCCCGCGCGCCCAGGAGGCCGTCGTCCAGCGCGCTCGAGCTGTCGAGGTCCATCGCCAGGCCGAGCACCTCTGCAGCAGCTGCCGCCTCGGCGTCGTGCTCGTCGTCGTCCATCGCGCCCTCGACCTGGACGTCCAGCGCGGCCGAGCCGTCGAAGCAGTCCGTGCCCATGCCGCGCACCTCCCAAGCGACTGCCGCCTGAGTGCCGTGCTCGTCGTCGCGCAGCGGGTCCACGACCTGTTCGTCCAGCGCGTCCGAGCCGTCGAGGGTCGCCGCTGAGCCGCGCAGCGCCCCCGCGCCAGCAGCCCCAGCAGCCGCATACTCCTCGACGTGCTCCACGGAGTCCGCCGCGGCCGAGGAGGCGACGCCCTGCTTGGCCTCACGCCGCTGCCCCGAGCTGGCGGTGGCGCTGGGTCCACCAGCAGCAGCAGCTCCTTGAGCACCCCTGAGGCGCGCCCCAGCGCGCCTACCCCGTCGAGCTCCGCGACCTGCCTCTTGCTGGAAGTCTCCTCTGGCCACCGCGTGCCCGAACATGGTGTTTCGCATCTCCTGTTCATCACACCAAAACTGTGCCCTTTCGCGCACTCTTTGGTGGAGTGCGGCCATCCTGCTCTCGAACCCTGCCACAGGCGCCGCCACGTCGGTGCCGCTGAGGATGTCGACCTTCGTGAAGGCGGTGTGTACCTCGCTCGTCGCCTCCAGCCGCCTAAGCGGGGTGGCGCGGTCGATAAACCTCTTCAGCTTCTTGAAAGGACCGACGCCGCGCCTCAGGTTGTGGAGGACCTCGAGGCCCTTGGTGGTGGCAGCTACGCAAGGCTGCCGTAACTTGGCCTTGCGCCGCTGCAGCGCCCAAGCCCCGCACTTCACACATATGAACACTGGCCTGTAGGTGTCCTTCGCGTCGCTCTCCAAGGTGTCCAAGGTGCCCTCCTGGTTGACCGCTACCAGCTTGTGGCCGTTGGGGTTGCGCCGATGGTCCAGCAGGAAAGTGGGCGCCCCAGGGCACCCCGTGAGGGGAAGTGGCTGCCCTGGCATGTGCATCTGTAGGCAGGTGATGCATTGCACGCCCAGCTCGCCATCTTGCCATTGGTGCCATGTTGCTTTCCTCGTGCTCGCTGCCCGCCGCAGGGTCGGTGCTCTCCTGGTCCACCTGAGCTGGTCGTCCTAGTCGAAGATGGGCATGATGTGGGCAATCAGCTTCGCAATCTGGCTGATTCTGTCGACGCCCTTCTGCATCTCCTCCACTATCTCCTGCTCGGGGGCGGGGTGGATCGCCGCTGCCTCCTTGGCCCTGAGGTCCGCCACGATGTTCGCGTCCGTGACCCTCCTCTGGCTGTCGGAGAGCGCTGCGTCGTCGTCCCCAGAGCGGTGCGCCTTGACGTGGGCATACTGCTGCACGCACGTGAAGCCGTCGAGCGATTGCGCGAAGTGGGCGAAGCACGCGTAGGGGGTCCTGGCCTTCAGCTGCAGCTCCTTCTGCTTGTTTCCCATGTGGATAACGCCCTTGAAGTCGGCGTGGACGGTGCATGGTCGGTCCGCAACCTGCGACACGAAGGCCGCCGCCAGATGCTCTCCGACAGCCGATTCTTGGGGCAAGGAGGCAGGTACAGCTCCGTGCATGGTCGCCAGCGGCCTGTCTGAGCGGGGATCGAGCAGGACGAGGCTCCACCCTGCTCGCTGGAATTCCTTGATGGGCGGCTTGGTGCACGAGCCATCGGTGGCGACCTCCATACTCGCGCCCTGTTCCCTGAGAAAGCAGGCTGCCATCTGCTCAGGTTCCTGACATTGCTCATCAGGAACTGGAGCCCCTTGGCCGTCAAGGATAACGCTGGTTGTGCCCAAACTCATTGTCGGAACATCAGCACAAGCATATCCAAATATGCCTTCGATATACCCAGGCTCGTCTGCATGCTGACGTAGCTCGTCGAGGAAAACTTGGGGGACCTCTGCATCGGCTCGAGCTTGCTGAACTTCAGGTCTTGTGCAATCAAGAAGTCGGTGCACGAGAGAATCGGGGGCTCCACAGGGACACCTACCATCCGTGTAGTATCCACGCTGCTGGGCTCTCGTCTTTGTCCAGACGCCACTGCACGCGACATTCATGATGCAGAACTTCTGGTGCGCCGTGTACCGCTTGCTTTGCAGGGAGACCAGGGGGGCTAGGATGTCGAAGGTGGCGCGCTTGCCCTCTCCTAGTCCGAGCTTGTTCGCTAGGTCTCGCTCATGCTGACATTGAACGCCTTGCTGCAACATCTGGAGCAGTAGTCCCGGGGTGAGCTGCTCCACAAATACCAGGTCGCCTCGATGGTTATGCCACCTTAGTGCCGAGGTTGCTGTCCATCCTGCCCTCGCCAACGAGAGGGCAGCTCGTTGGAGCGGCCCGCGGGTCATTCCCCACGAGCTGCATACCCCAGGCTCTTCCACCGCTCTTCTCCACCACGTCGTAAGTAGTGCCAGAGGTACTGGTGCTTGTTCAGGTTGCAATACTGCCATCCAGACCATGCGCGACCACTGCAGCACTGGCGCCATTGCAATCGCCACCGTGGGGTCGCCTAGGAGCACTACCTTGGCCGAGGCCGAGACGCCCCCATGACAGGGTCTGCTGAACTTGCCGAAGTCCGTGCGCAGCTTGTGGAGCTCCCTGTCTGTGAGCCCGTTGATCTCCACGCCGAAGGTGGCCGCTGGTCGAGCTCCAGCTCGGAAGATCTTGGCCGCCCGCTGCGTCTGCTGTCCTGGAAGTCGATGTCGAAATCTGCCCAGCTTGCGCAGCCTCTGCTTGTAGATCTTATGGCGCGCCTGCTGCTTGGCGCGTAGGAGCTTCCCTCGCCTTCTCCGTGCTCCCGCGAAGTCCGTGCCCAGGTAGGTTGCCCGACTGCGATTCATGTCTGTGGGTAACTTCAGCTGCCGCACCACTTCCTTCCCAATATCATCTGAGCTGGCCACCACCGCCAGCTTATCATTGACGCGGGCGCCGAGCTTCTTAGCTACCTTGAAAAGGGCATTGCCCGCCGCGACCGCTTGCAGGATGACGTTCTCCTTGGTGGCCCCGTTGATGCCTAGGGAGGTGTCGTCGATGTAGGACGCGAACCTGACCAGCGGGTGGAGCGTGGCGTATACGTCGTACTGCTCGATGGCGTGCGCCTTTATGACCACGTCTGCGTAGCCATCTCCTGCTGGAAGGCCGAACTTTGCATGCCGTGGCTGCGCGCCATGATGCTGGTGAAGACGTATCACACGTGGCCCTCGCCACTGGTTGTACACAATTTTAACCATCGCCACTGGCATACCGAGCCTCAGCAGTTTATCCCTTGCTTCGTCCAGGGGAATGAGCTCGTAGTACTTGCTATAGTCGGCGATGATTGTGGCCGTGTGCCGCCCTGCCTCTACATTCTGTTCCGCATCCGCCGCCAGGATCCAGGCACTGTCGATAGCGCTTCTGTTCTTGGCCGCCGCCCAGCATGGCCTACGCAAGGCCTCTTGTAGAGGTCGAAGGGCAGGTTTGCGGAGTCGTTGCCAGACTCTGTAGGCCATGGAATACAGGATGATCAACCTGTGGCCTCCAGCGGCCTTTGGCAACATCGGCATCACCATCCACGTCAGCTGGACGGGGAAGAGGCCCAGCGCCTCGCAGGCCAGCAAGATGTCGCACAGGCCCTCCAGCGCGTCGTCGCTGAGGTGCTCCAGGTGCGTAGGGTGGAGGCCGTCCAGGCTGCTGGAGGTCGTGATGCTGAAAGTACGTGATGATCGCCGAAGTTCCTCTGGTGAAGGTCGTTCTAGGGTCGACCTGTCAGGAATCCACGCCTCGGGAGCCTCCTTCACCGCCTTCCACAGCGCTGCGTGCGTATCCTCCATATCCTCGACTACGAAGTGCGGGTGCCCTGTGATGCCGTTCTCCGAGTCATTGACCGTAGTGGGGGCCTGAACCTCTCGCACTCGCGTGACCTTGCGAAGCTTCCTCGCTCCGCCAGCGCAGGCCCCGTCACACCACCCTTTCCAGCGCTTCGAAGATTCCTTGTTCGCTTGCTGCATGGCGAATTTGACATCCTCTTCAATGTCTTCCGAGAAAGTCATGATGTCCTCACTGCTGAAATTCCTCTGCGCTAGCTGCCGAGCTTGCCGCACAGATGCGTCAAGCCGCGCGCTGAGGTTCTGGCCACAGTAGTCA